GATGTTTCTCTATGCGGAATTCAATTCAAGTAGGCTTATATTGGCATTTATTTTTATTTTTGGCTAAATTAGTAAAAAAAAAACAAAAACAAAACAAAACAAAATAGACTATAATTATTTCATTTTTTTTCTCTAATAAAAATCAAAAAAATCAATCTAAATCAATTTTTTAGCCAGAGCTAAACTAAAAAATAAAAAAAAACTAACTAAAAAAGGCCACATGCCATTAGAGAAATGTAAAAACATATACCCATAAATTTGAAAAAGCACCCCAAAAACATCAATTACCCAAACAAATAATAATAAAAAAAAAAAACACCAAGAAAGTAACCACAAAACAACAAAAGGAACCAATATAACAGACCACTGTCTCACCAAAACAAAATTTCAAAAGACGAAAACATAGGCAATCCTACCCCTTCGAATGTAATTTTTTTTTTGGCTAAATTAGATAAAAAAAAAAAAAAAAAAAAAACAAAATAAACTATAATCATTTTATTTTTTTTCTCTCATAAAAATCAAAAAAATCAACCTAAATCAACTTTTTAGCCAGAGCTAAACTAAAAAGTCAAAAAAAAACTAACTAAAAAAAAGCCACATGCCATTAGAGAAATGTAAAAACATATACCCATAAATTTGAAAAAGCACCCCAAAAACATCAATTACCCAAACAAATAATAAAAATAAATAAATAATAATAAATAAAAAAACACCAAGAAAGTAACCACAAGTCAACAAAAGGAACCAATATAACAGACCACTGTCTCACCAAAACAAAATTTCAAAAGACCAAAACATAGGCAATCCTACCCCTCCGAATATATTACTATTTTTTTTAGAGAAAATTATTGAAAAGTCTAATCCAAGAAGGGTATAAGGCATTAGGTTTAGTGGATATTTTTTATTAGTAAGAGATTCACCTTTGTGATACAATTTGGTGAGAAGATATTTTTATGGAAAATTATATTTCCACACCAATTCTTCTTTGTGAACATCTTTTCTCAAGTCACACATTTAATGAATTTGAAATATTATATTTTACTCAGTACACAACCTATCCTATCAAAAATGCCCTAATCTTCTTTATCTTTCAAATCTTTATCCTAACCTTAACCTTAACCACCACCTACCTCCACCCTGACCACCGTCGCCACCACAAACCACTGCAACCTGTGAGCCCCCTTTCGTGAACCCTTCACCATTGTGAACTACTTTCACCATGAAATCTCCTCCAATGTAGTCCCTCAAAACCTCCATTGTCAAGAACCCCTTATCTACAAACTAGCCTCCATCACAAATTGTCGTCACAAACCTCCCATTCACGAACCACCTTCCCTCGCAAACCCTTCTTGAAATTCCCCACCAATTCCTCTTCTTTTCGATATGGTTCCCTTCGTTTTATATCTTTAATCGTACATGTCGCCGGCAAACATTGCAGAAAAGATATTGGGATTGTTGTAGATGGTACATGAGTTGCAGGTATTGGTGAAGATGTAGGAAGGGATGATGACAGAAGGTAAGGGTAGGAGCAATGTTTTAAAAACCGGACCGGTGAGTGAACCGGAAAAATGATCGGGTGGACGGGTCACCGGTTCAACCGTCGGGTTGAACCGGAATCGAACCGTGACGTCATAAATATATTAAAATTATATTAGTTCTTTCCCAAGAGTTAAAAATCTCCAAAATCCATCCCTTGTAAAACTATGGATGGGTGCTATTTATAGGCACCTCATGATATAGGATGGAGTCCATGTGCAAGGCATATGGGGGATATTCTCTCTAACCACCTTGTCCGAGGAGGTGACTTCTCCGAGGATGAGAAAACCCCGAAGAGGAGATCAATTCCTCGGCGAACCCTTCTTCTTAGCCACACCTAACCAATGATCCCCAATCATCCCAAAGGGTCAGGGGTAGTCCCAGAGGACGTCCTGCCGCAAAAAATATTGCCGAGTCTCATGGACCCCCCGGGATCGTGCCACCTCGACCCGGGTATAGGCTAGTTTAACCGAAGAGTGAATTTATCTCCACTCACCGTCCTCAGGATCTACAAAAAATCCGTTTTTAAAACCCGGTGAACCGGGACCGGGTCAACCGGTTCGGCGGTTCAACCGGCGGTTTTTCCGGTTCTCTCAAAAGAGGCCGGTTTTCGACTATGACCGGTTTACTGGGTGTACCCGGACCGGAACCTCGACCGGTCGGCGGTTCAACCGGTTGAACCGGCCGGTCCGGTCCGGTTTTTAAAACCATGGGTAGGAGAATGGTTGGGGTGGTCGTGGAAGACGACCCGCAATGGCAACGATGGCAGCGGCCAAAGGTTAAAGGATTGGGGTTTTGGAAGAGAAAACAAGGGTATTTTGGTAGTTCTATTTTAGGACAAAATTATAATAAAAGAATTTTTATTTAGTGTGTGCACATAGAGGAAGTAGTGTGTGGAAATAGAAGCTTCACATTTTTATGGTTTAGGAGGATATTTTGTTTCCAATTTTACTCCTTAATTTATCTGTTGACTTTTTGACTATCTATTTAAATTTATATCTATCTGTTCAAATTATTTTCTATCTGTTCAAATGTTTTGACTATTTGTTCAAATTATTTTTTTATCTGTTTAATTTTTTAGCAATCTGTTCAATTTTTTTTCTTATCTGTTCAAATTTTATTATCTATCCAATTTTTTTTCCTTAAATTCTATTTATTGATTTTTTATCTGTTCAAATCTTTGTCAATATTGCCAAGCTTTTGCAATTCGAGTACAATCCACTTCTTCTCCAAAGAAGTATCTCTATCAGAGGACCAGGGTAAGCAATTAAAATTCCTAATTTTACCTTCTCTCACAGCAAAGCCCAAACCACCCAATAAACCAGCCGATGATATATGAAACCCAGAAGCTGAAACTCACTTTGCATTGGACAAAGTTTTAAACCCATATTTGAATTTGTGAATTAATGCGGTAATATGCAAGTTCCCTTCAATTTTCATTGTGATTGGGTGGAGTGCTGTTCTTCAACTACCAAAGGACTGAAATATAGGACCTAATATATACAAAGAAAAAATATATATATATATATATATATAAAATGATATTGACCCCAAATTTTCTACTAAATAAATGATCAAATGTCTCGCATCTCTAACATTACCCATATAAAAAAACACATGACATTAGAGAGCTTATATGCTTGTGTGCGTGTAATAAGGAAAATAAATAATACTACTGGATTTCAACAGTGTTCAAGGCCAAAAACAACTGCAAAACTTACTGGAGAACAACTCCAAAAAAAAAAAAATATAATATAAATATACTTCATTAGATCACCTACATATCACCCATACACTCAAATTTCAACGGATTATCCCAAATTTCAACAGATCACCCACACACACTCAAATTTGAAACGATCACCCACACACACTCAAATTTCAACAGATCACCCAAATTTGAACAGATCACTCCAAATTTCAAGAGCTCTCATGGGAGCCGATTTGCCTTGGGGTCTGAACCCAAAATCTCCGTTCAACATACCAAAATCATCCATGAATTTTCCTTCCAATATTCAAATTGATGTCGAAACTGAATCAGATCTGACAAAATTACCCTTCAAGGAAGGGCCAGTGAGAGGCAGAGAGAAGGTTTACAGTGAAATTGCTATGGAAGACAGAGCTTCCAAGGTCTCAGCTCCTCCACACCTTACGATTACACTCCACCTTGCTCCCATATTGATTCTCTCTTCACCAGCGTAGTTGCTCTAAGCCCAAGTCCTTCAACAATCAATTTGAAGGCAGCTTTGTCTCAGATCTGGGATTGTTAGCGACTCTATAGTGACAGAGGAAAGATGTTTAGCGGTATGGTTTTAGCGATGACCTCTCTTCTTCTCCGTCACCATATCGGTTGATTTCAGACCTGAGGCAATCTAAAATGATGATGGAGACGGCGGTAGCGACAATGAGGAATGTTGGTGGTGGTTGGAGAATAGAGAAGAAGAGGAAACGATGATGGAGACGGTGACGGCGATCTAATCCGATGATGGAGACAACGACGATCTGAGGAGATGGTGGTGGTGGTGAATTGAGGCAATGATGGAGAAGGCAACAACAGCGGCGATGGCGAGCCGAAGATATGAGAGAGAGAGAGAGAGAGAGAGAGAGAGAGAGAGAGAAAGAGAGAGATCGATCTAGGGTGTTGAACTGTTATTGAGAAATATATCTGGTAGAGAAAGAGTAGAGAGAGGAGGAAATGTTCAAAAAAAAAAGGGGTTTTGAATAGATAAAAGCGTGAATAAAAAAGCACGTAAAATATGAAAATTTTGGCCATTTCGTCTAAACATGTCTTCATAGACAAAATGTTTTAACACGTGAACTTTTAGACAAACAAAATTTAGATTTGAATTTATGGACCGATTGTCTTTTTTTAATTAAAAAAATTAATCCTTTTAACAATCAGTAAGAAAAGACAAAAGGGACTGAGAAGCTAGTCGAATCCGAATATAACACTCAGTAAAGGAACATCTTATCCTAAAACATAAAATTATTTCATCAATGACATAACAAAACCCAATTGACCAAAGACTAAGCATCCGGACCTCCCTTACTGAGTCACAATCGCTAAGTAACATACCAAACGTAACGTGACTCACATTGGATTGGAATGTTTTCGGATTATCCCTCAACACAGCGGCCGCATCGTGATTCAGGGGATCCTCATGGTTTGGTTCCTGCAAAAAAAAAAAAAAAAAAGCTCCCAAATCAGCAGTAAAAATTCTCTCCAAGGCTTCCCAACACCACTGCCTGCGCAAAGAAATTGCCTAAAAGCCCATCATATTATTGATCAAACTCAAATGTATTCCCATCAAGCCTACCCAACTTCAGGAATGTTACAATGTCTAAGCATATTGCCAACAGACAACAAAGTAAATAATAGCATTTAATTACTCAGTCCAGTTGTGGTAAATTGAATATGCAACAGCTCAAAGCTCACGCATGTCAAATCATAGAACCATCCAGAATTGTAAAAGATCAACCATAAATTGATGCTTCCGACATCAAAATACAGGGATAGAATTAGAAAAGTGAACAAGGAAGAAGGGCATGAATTTCATGCTCAAAGCATATACGTACTATTCAGCAGCAACAAACCAGTAAACCGTGAATATTTTACCAGACCAGTTGGTTAATGAAATCAAAGGCAACTGTTAAGTGAACCCAGCATCAATCTGGGACTATATGCCACTCTAGAAATCTCCGGGTCCTGTGTGAGTTTCAGGACTATGAAAAGCCAGAAATCTAAGAAAAGCACTCCAAGTATTTGGAATCTGTAGAACCAACAGAAGCCTTTCATGAAACCAGCCTCATTTGCAGAGTGCACTCTCTGATGCTGAGTTACGTACCCGTCTTGAATCATCAGCCCCATCAATCCTAAAAATCAGGCACACAAATCAAATAAGGTCACACTCAGCAAATTGATACATCACTCATGTCAGACAAAATCAAGAAACTCATGATTCAATCCAGGGTCCTATAAAATCACTCGTGTCAGTATGGATTATGAAATTAGCAACCCTTGGAATGCATTTGGATCTTGGATTTGTTTAGAGATTGTAGAAGGAAAAGAAAAATATAGCTTCTACTTCATTAATGAAATCTCTTTATCTTCTATAAAACACTAATCATAAATAAGGGTTCAACCACATGTTAACAATCAACCACCATATACTTCATACACAATCAACACATTATTCACAAAAAATCATCAATTATTTGGATGATTAGAGACTGACAACATACGCCTCCACTCTTGAATTTCTTATAATACAATGTTCATCAGATAGTGCTAAACTCATTCCAATACTGCACCAATTTCTTCACAAAAAGAGTCAATCCTGAATGTACAATACAACAATCAGGCATTCCATACTTCGATCAGTGGCAAATTAAAATTAATAAAAGATGCAACATGAAGGGTTTATATAAAAATCCTAAAGTAACCATAATACCATTACAGACTAAGTATTGAACTGGTTAATACAACAAAAAAGCAATAAAATTTAAGGATCCTCAATGAGAATAAGCAAGCATGCCTAGTTGCAAATGGTAATATTCACCTTATAAAGAAGAGCACCACTTCTTGCGGTATCTTTAATATAATTTTCTTTACATTGAGAACATAAACTATATGGGAAGTTCCATACAGAAGTAATAAACTGACAAGCATTGTGAACATTGAAATCACTCACCATTTTTACACCGGTCACCGGCAGTAAATACCCTGATCTATATGTGGAGGAATTTGTTTAATCTCAGTTCCAAGTTCTTGCTCAATCCTATACCTGTTGAAAAGAGTAAAAGAAACTAAATTAATACGGAGACACAATTGCAAAAGAGAAAGAGAGAAAGAAGAGAGGGGGGGGGGGGGGGAAGAACTTCTATACTCATGCAAAGGAACAGTATATATACAAGTTGAAACGGTCCTCATAAGTGATCAAATTCACTGCTAGCCCAAGGTGTCCAAACCTCCCAGATCGACCGACCTACAAGTGACATGAAAATGCATAAGAATAACACAAATGCACACAAATATTCTTCATAGGAAATTTGTCTCCAACTTACCCTGTGCAGATAAGTTTCTGAATTCTTAGGAAAATCAAAATTAATCACAACATTGACTGCTTGAATGTCTATCCCCCTTGTAAACAGATCTGCAGTTCCATCTCAAAGAATAATGAGCATAATAATCTCAATCAAAAATGAGAGAGAGAGAGAGAGAGTATGATCAATCCCCATCATCACTAATAACCCCATTAGGGTCTGTCACAAGATAGGGTGTACCATATGCAAATTACGACATTTGTGGATTTGATTACCACAAAGGTCATAACTCATAATTCAATCCTATAAGAGTCATAACTAAAAATAAAATAAAAATGATTTATAACCAAATACCACATAACAAAGAGCTCTTAGGTCATAACCAAAATAATGTCACAAAAAACCACAAAGGTCATAACTAGGGGTGCATATGGGGTGTGTACCATAGAATTTTCCCACAAGATAAGGTTATATATATAATATTATACGCTAACAAACAAACCAGCCAAAGAGAAATCAATAATTGATAAATTCAAATTGACATATAAGATAATGACATCATGGTTAGCTCTACAAAGGTTAGCAATTCCCTATACAAACTTGTGAGTGGCAAAAATATAATCAAGCAAGTTAAACAAAAATCAAAACACTGACATGCAGATACAACTCCCCCCAAAGTACTCAAATATTTAAAACAAACTATACACAATAATTATGGTCACCTAAAAACCTCCATCGTGAACAAATACAAAACATATAAACTTACGAGAATGGCAACAGTAAACCAATAAATTCTAATGGACCTTGTGTGTTTTAACACATCTAAACAACCATCATTATTACACTATCCATTGTTTTTTTTTTTTTTTTGATAAATAACCAACCTTTATTAGAAAGCATCAAGACGATGCAAAGAATACATAATTGAGACCTACAAAAGGCCGAAAAAACTAACTAACGAATCAAATCTTCCACAAAATAAACAAAAACCAAAACATTTGGATTGACTGTACCCTTAACCCAACCATGCAACACCAACAATAATCTACTTTCTAACCATGAAACAGAATGACACTCATCCTGAAACACGCGCCTATTCTGTTCCAACCAAACCAACTAAGGCAAACAATGGGAAGAAAGCACCCAAGTCTTTCTGCGCCTCTTTCCCACCCGAGCCCACCCCCCCTCCCCCAAACTTTGTAATACGTCTAACACAGAGGCCAGTTGCACCCACACCAAACCAAACAAAGCAACAACAAAATTCCAAAGCCTAGATGCAAACGGACAATGAAGAAGCAAGTGATCCACCATTTCTGCATCCCTACAACACATACAACACCAATTGACCAACACATGTTGTCGTCAAATCAAATTATCAATAATAAGAATATGATCCAAAGCAGCTGTCCAAACGAAAAAAGCCACCTTCATTGGAGAACCCGACGCCCAGACCTCCTGCCAAGGAAACCCACCAATAGCATCCCCTACAAGTGCCCTATAAAATGAAGACACAGAGAAATTCCTTTAAACCATCGAACATCCCACGCTACAGAATCCACCCCTTCCCTCCCCTGCGGCAACCCATATAAGAAGCCCAAAAGATCCATCAATTGGTCGAGCTCCTAATCTTGCACATCCCAGCAAAGAAGAACATTCCAAACAATTGACTGCCCCTGCCTCCCCCTCACTGAAGCAACAATCTCCTCCCTATCAACTGCAATGGCATAAATAAGCGGGAACATAACAGCCAACAACTCCCCACCACACCACTGATCCAGCCAAAAACGAACTGTATCCCCTACCACCACTCTAAATCGAACCCTCACCCAAAAATCCCCTCTCCCCAACCAAATTCCTTTCCACAACCCACGACCATGGGAATGAACCACCGGCACCGGCTTTGAACAGCAACCCCCCCTCTCCACCCCATACTTAGCCACAATCACTTGCCTCCATAATCACTCCCTTTCCTCCACAAAACGCCACAACCACTTCCCCAATAGAGCCCGATTAAATGCCGCCAATCTTCGAACACCCAAACCCCCGTGGTCCTCTGGAATGCTAACTTTTGCCCAATCCACCAAATGATAAGGAGACTCACCCCTGCCCTTACCCCACAAGAAATCTCGCTGAAGCTTCTCCACCCGCTTGGCCACCGCCAGAGGCAACACATGCACGGACAAGAAGTACGTCGGAATACTAGAAAGAACACTCTTAATCAAAGTAAGCCGCCCCCCTTTTGACAGGTACTATTGCTTCCGTCCTGCCAACCACCGCTGCACCCTATCCACCACCCTATCCCACACCCTTGACTCCTTAAAGGTAGCTCCCAAAGGAAGACTCAAATACGAAATTGGTAACCTGGCCACCTTACAACCCAAAACAGCCGCTAACACCGGAAGACAAGCCACCTCACCCACCGGAATCAATTATGATTTGGACAAATTAACCCGAAGCCCAGAAACTGCCTCAAAACATAGCAATACACACCGCAAATGGCCTACCTGAACCGCATCTGCATCACAAAAAATCAAATCATCATCCACATAGAAGAGATGAGATACCACCAAAGGATCAGACTCCACCCCTACTGCAAAACCCAACAACAAACCACCACGAACCACCGTACAAAGCAGCTGGCTCAAAGCCTCCATAACCAGAATAAATAAAAGTAGAGACAAAGGGTCACGTTGTTGTAAACCCTACCAAGTAGGAAAGAAACCCGCCAGGGTCCCATTAACCAAAACAGACATTCGAACAGTAGAAATACAAAAATGTATCCACCTCCTCCACCGCTCCCCAAAGCCCATCCTCTCCAACACATACAGCAGAAACTACTAATTGACATTATCATAGGCCTTCTCAATATCCAACTTGCAAATAATCCCCTTTACCCTGTCGAAGCCGCGAATCCACACGCTCATTTGCTACAAGAACAGCATCCAAAATCTGCCGCCCACCCACAAAAGCATTTTGAGACTTCGACACCACCCCCTCCAACACACCCCGAAGACGATTAGCCAAAACCTTGGCCAATAACTTGTAAACACTACCCAGTAAACTGATGGGCCGAAAGTCGCGAATATCCTCTGGACCTTCCTTCTTAGCGATTAGGGCTATGAACGTAGCATTCAGACTTCTCTCAAACTGATCCGTCTGATGAAATTGGTCAAACATAGCCAACACCTCCCCGTTCACCACCCCACAACAATGCTGAAGAAAACCAATAGAAAAACCATCCAGGCCCAGCGCCTTGTCCCCAAGCATACTCCTTAATGCCCCCAAGAACTCCTCCTTCGTAAAAGGTTGCTCCAGCAACAAGCCATCCACCTCAAAAATAGAATCAAAGACCACTCCATTCGGTCGTGGCCTCCAACCCTATCCCTTATCACAAAAAATAGACTGGTAGAACCCTACAATACCCTCCCTGATGGCCTCTTCGGACGATAGCACCACCCAATTCACCTGGAGCTTCCCGATCTGATTTACATGTCGATGAGCATTCGCCATGTGGTGGAAAATTTTTGTATTTCGATCCCCATCTTTTAGCCACAAGCACCTAGATTTCTGTCGAAAACTAACCTCCTCCATTCGAGCCATCCTCGTATATTCCACTCAAGCCGCATCCCTACAAACCACATCTTCCTCAGAAAGACCCCCCTTGGCTTCCTTCTCATCCAACCCCGACATAACTGACAAAATGTTCGCCTTTTGAGCCTCTACACGACCAAAAACCTCTACATTCCACTTTTTCAGATCAGCCTTAAGAAGTTTCAATTTCTAAGCCAATCTATAGCTTGGCGTCCCTCTCCCATGATAACTCCCCCACCAAGCCCCCACTCTCTGTAAGAAGCCCTCTGTTTGTAACGACATATTCTCAAAATGAAATGGCAACGGCCCCCGCCGAACACCCCCACTATCCAACAAAAGTGACCAATGATCAGAAATTGGCCGAGGCAACCTCAACTGAAGCATCCAAGAAAAATGCTCCTCCCAATCCCTAGAAACCAAGAATCTATCAATCCGAGAACTTGCTCGGCCGCCAGACCAAGTATAACCCCCCCTGCAAAGGCAAGTCCACTAGCTCCAACTTGTCAATGAAGGAAGAAAAAGCCCTCATGGACCCTAACACCTAACTTCCTCCTGCGTTCTTCGCCAGACTCCTCACCACATTAAAATCACTTGCCACACACCAAGGCACCCCCCATCGGAACGCAATATCCTGCAATTCCTCCCAGAAAGCATGCCTCTCCGATCCTCGAACAGGGCCATAAACCACAATAAATGCCTACTGATAATCATCCTCAATGCACCGAAATACACAAGACAAGGAAAAATCCCCCACCTCTTCCCTCTCCTTCACCACTACCCTACTTTCCCAACAAAGGACACCACCAGCCACCCCTACAGCGGGTTGAAAAGCCCATTCCACATGCCTCCCACCCCAAAGGTACCGGACGATCTCTACCCCAACCACCTCCATTTTGGTTTCTTGCAGACACATCACATCCCCCTTAGCACTCTGCAATACGGACTTAACTACTGTCCGCTTTCCTTTCTCATTCAAGCCCTGCACATTTCAAGTCAAAATTTTCAAACGCATGGCAACAGAAGTAGACCACCAGGCACCTTCCTCAATTTGCTCTCCTCCCTCGGAAGGCGTCGGTCGTAATTGACAGAACACTCTAGCCTCCTTAACTCCCGTACCCCTTTATCCTTTGGGCCTACCACTTGTGCTTCCTTTGCGCCCTGGTCACCCCCTTTCCAAGAGGACTCAATTGCAGTGAACAACTTGAGTGCCTCAGCCTCATGGCCTTCAAAAGAAGCACCCAGAAATTTACTAACCTCCTTAATACGGGAAAGGACCCATTGCGATACCTCCTCTGAGGTCGGGATCTCACCCTCCTGAAAAACCCCTTTTGTTTCATAAGCAACCTTCTTAGCCACAACATGCCCCACCTGTTCCCCAACACACACCACGTCAGGTCGGACGACCAACGCCAGTTCGTCGGTCATGGTTGCCTAGCGAGCGTCGTCCACACTCCCCACCAGCTGTCGTCTCTCCTGACAGGCCCTTGCCTCCTGGATTTGCTCCTTCGCCACAGAACCATCATAATGCGACTGGGAATTAGCATTGACAGACTTAGTCGACGACTGTAGGCTCACTGATCGACTACCGGAACCCCTCTCCTGAGCTTGCGCGTCCTCTGACGAGGCACCCAAGCCATTGTTAGTCCAACGAGGCTCAAACCCGTCACGAAGTGATGCAAAAACCCGATTAAGATCTGGGTTGATTTATATTGGCATGGGTTAAGCTAAATCTCTTCCCTTTGGACTTAAAACACTCTCGTGTTGGCCCACACAGGGCTCCGCGCAAACTAGGCCCACGTCTGGTATAGAAATAACTGTGGCCCACCGTTGCTGGCCTATTGAACCTCCCATAGCCCTCTGGGCCTTGTCCAGGCCCAACTGTCTCCCATGAAAAACTCGCTTTGAACCCAATTTGCTACGCAACTGGGTTTGAAGCCTAAACTGACCTTGATGAACCCTAGAATTGAGTTGCCCCCCAAAATCTTTGTAGATATTCCATCACCCCCACACTCTTCGCGAATCTACGAACCAGACGCCATGAATCTCGCCCTTCCATATTCGTGCGATGGTTAGCACCCGACACCACGACCGGAGCGACAGATTCAACCATCGGCCCGACCTCCTCCCATACCAACAATGAGTACTGCCACTAGCCCCACCGGATGGAAACAACCGATGGTATACTCTCTGATCCTCTCACACAGAGACGAAGGGAACCTAGATCCGCCGATGACGCATTCGTCTGCACGAAGCCGCCACACTGGTCGCCGAGCACTCGATAAACCTCCTCCCCACGAAGATGGAGCAGCAAACCCATCACTCGAACCCAAACCCGCTTCGCCGGCTTCAACATCAGCCAAATGAAGCAGCAAGGGTCAGAGGAGTCCACCAATCCAACACCAAATGACGGCCATCAACGACCTATCGCCGATGCATAAGAACCTCCGCTTCGCTTCTAGTAGGCAGAACAAACAGAAATGCCTGATCACTAAGCGGTCGCACCTCCACCTGCCCCGAAGCCTGCCACCATCGATGGACCCAGTCAGACATAGTCGCAAAGCTCAGTCCTTTCCCACCCATCTCCCAAAGATGGCCCACCAACGATCTATCCAGAATTCGAAACCGCTCGACCTCCACCAGCGTATGAACAGCCTTGACCACGCCCGACACACCATGATGTGCCACTGCCGCTGGCCTAGATGTAGGCGGCGCCTGCCCCTGCACGCCACAAAGTCGCCGCAACCAACCATCCCCTAACCCAAAACCGTCAATAACTAGTGCCACATCCCCCCATCCATCACCAAAATCGGACATCGGAATGAAAATCTGGTCCCTTCGCTTCCCCACCGCCACCACTATTTGGAACGAAGAACCACCCTCTGCCTCTCCACGAACCCAAATTGTGACACTACGGCTGCCCCCACTAAGGTGTCCCAAAACCTGAAAGTTCCTGGATCCGAAGAGGCCACCTGCATTTTTGCCACAATCCAACATACTTCATAGCCAATCAACACTATAGCTCTTCTAAGGCCCTGACCCCTCTCAACAATCGATATGCTCCGACGCCCAATTGCATTCACCGACGACTCCTCCAGTCCAAAAGACCGACCACCGAAAAAAAGAATTCGCCGGCGTGGTCCAATCTCTTTTGACACAGGTAACATTATTCCCTCCTAAAATCTCAAAGCCTCGTACAACCAGGTCAACAAAACGATTCTTAAGAACAAGAATAGCAATCAAGTCAAATGCTCTGGCATCTTTTTCTCATACTTCAAATCAATTCAAGTATTAAAGAGATAAATAAATATCCAGGGTTGTTGAGCAAACAGGGGTACCAAAGTTTTCAGGTTAAAACTAAAATCCATTGTTACAGAACTAAGTGTAAAAAAATAAAATAAAATAAAATAACATACCTGTACAAACAAGATTCCTGCAGGCACCGTTACGAAAATCATGAAATACTCTGTTGCGGTGATCTTGAAGCATCTTTGCATGAATGTAGAAGCAAGAATAACCAAGTTCTGTAATTTTCTTGGCCAGTAGTTCTACTCGATTCACCGAATTGCAGAAAATGATTGATTGGTTGATTTGAAGCTGTAGATAGCAAAATTAAGATTTTTACTTTTTATAGGTAGCTAGCAACATCAAGTTATATCCATGGAGAAAAAAAAAATAATAATAAATTTGCATGTGTCAGGTCAAACCTTTGAGAAAAGAGTGTTTAGGCAGTGGACTTTCTGTCTTTCTTCAACAAAAGCATAAAATTGTGTAATACCCTTGAGAGTGAGCTCATCCATTAGGTTGATAACATAGGGCCTATGCAGATATCTATCTTTAAAATCCTTAACTGTAACAGGAAATGTGGCTGAAAACATCAAAATTTGTCGATTCACAGGTAAAAAATGAATCAGCTGATCCAATGATGGACGGAACTCTGGAGACAACAGTTTATCAGCCTGAAAATACATGAATCCACATGCCGTTAGATTATTCCATTTTAAATGTTATAACCAAGCAGATCATAACAAATAATACAATCAGATAATCACAAACTTCTTAGAGCTCAAATCCACTATATACGCAATATATATATTCTACACAAGCCAACTTTAATGAGCATAAAAAATTGAGGACACAAAAAAGGCATGGCTTTAGATCTTCACTAATACAAGATACATGTCAAAATCCTCAAACAGCAAAGAAAATGTTTTCCATAAAATTTTGTTCTACAAAGTGAAAGCATAAAGCGATAAACTCCCCGCAAATTCTGGCGGTTTAGCTAAGTCCACAGAAAATTGCTAAACAGTGCTATAAATCATATCCCATAACCATTCGAGATTAAAATGATCTTAATTTTTGCAACAAAACAATATTTGACGATAAAAATTATATATACAACAAGAGGAATGCCACAACAATTCTACCATACTAAATTACAATTTCTTAGTCACATTAAACCATTTCTCCCTTCCTCAGATGCCCAAAACCTTTTCACTCAAACATTCTTTTGCCAAACAAAGGCAGAAAGTAAACTAGGGTTACCAACACACAAAGTTAATAGTTAGATGAAATTGATAAAATTAAAAGATGATATATTGTACCTCATCCATGACAAGCATGGAGCAATCTTTCAAAATGCAAACACCCTTTTTCGCAAGATCTAGTATTCTTCCAGGAGTTCCAACGAGCAGATGAACAGGTTGATACAAACGCATTATGTCTTCTTTTAAGCTGGTTCCACCGGTGGTAACCATGACCTGAATATTCAAGTACTTCCCAAGCTCCTTACAAACTTGGGATGTCTGCAGAGCCAATTCTCTTGTTGGAACAAGTATAACAACTGCAGTAAAAGACACAACTCAGCTAAAAGCACAATAAGAACACAAACTAAAATGTGAACAAAGCAAAATCAAATATGTACTGTAGTCTGTGTCTATTTAGGTGCAGTTACAGAAGAATATGATACTAAATCAAGTATCAGGAGCCTCAATAGATGCATGATCTGCAATTAATCAATTCCTGACTTGAAAATCCACAAGTTTAGAAAGCCAATCAATTACTCATCATACCTAAAAGCTTGTTTTTCATAATCAGAATTTACAGGACAACAACTTTAAGGTGGCCAAAAATATACTCGCCTGGTAACTCATCAGAAAATTATCCTTTCTTAGTCCTCAAACACACCGGGGTGCACATATTGGTAATTGTGCTCTGATGACCATCAAAGGGATATTTGAGTTAATCATTTTTTCCAGATGCAACGAATTGTATTCATCTTCCACATCCATCTGTTTTTTTTTGCGAGTATTCTCCAAATCCAATATTAGCTCCTGAAAATATGTAGTTCTAGTTGGCATTACCTAAAAACTCTCTTCCAGAATTAAAGAAGAGTTGGTATTTGGAAGGAGATATTTCCAGTCACATGCCCTTAAAGTATGCAACCACACCAACGATAAATATTTTATACTAAAATATTACTGTAAGCAGCATTGAGATCAAATACGTTCCACATCCATAAATGCAACCAAATGGTTGAGATTAAAACCTTGAATAACATTGTTATCTTGATCAATTTTCTCTAAGGCAGGAATACAAAAGGCAGCAGTTTTTCCAGTTCCATTTTTAGCCCTCGCAAGAATATCACTTCCAGTTAGAGCAATTGGAATACTTTCCTCCTGAATAGGAGATGGTCTTTCAAACCCTTTCTCATATATTCCCATCAGTAGGTCGCGCTTTAGAAAATAATCTTCGAATTCATTTCCTTTAGTGGCTGTCACATCCTGGGGAAAAAAAATGAGAAATTGCTAATCAGGACTAAAGTTAATGTCATAAAATATGGCTACATCTCCCCAACATGAAATTCCAAGTCCAACGATTACATGGGAACAATAAGTATGCCCCATCAGTACTTATCATCAGAAACAATAAGTATGCCTCATCACTTTTAAGAATAAATAGAATTTGTTTTATCAACAAACAAATTAAAGAATAAATATAATTAATATAACAGATCTCCATGTGTCTGCATGCATGACTCAGTTCAGTACACGGTAAAATATCAACACCTCTAAATACACTTTATCAACACTGATGATCAAATATCAACACCTTCAAGTATACTTTATTAACCCTCAGATGGTCACATGTCAAGACTATAAATTCAGAGGCCACAAAGATCAATTTAGAACGTACCAATAAAATATCCAAATAAAAGCTGTTAAATATATAACATGTGCAATTCTCAACGCTAATAATTTTCCTCACTGTGGCTGTCGAATACATACTATACTTAAATAAAATATCTTATATTAGCAAGATATGGCAAGCATACACGAAAAGACATCCTTGTGAGCAGTCATAACTTCAAGTGTGACACACCATAAAACAGTAAGCTCATTGTGGCTGTCATATGTAACCCTTCTCTTTCCCCAAAAAGCTGGTAACTAGTAAAATATGGCAAACTTAGAGTATGGATTTGAAAGAGAGCAAATACCACATAAACTTAGGCCCCGTTTGGGGACTTACCTTTTTAGCTAAAAAGTCAAAAAGTTACCCTTTTAGCTAAAAAGCCAACAACTCATACCAAAAAGTCAAAGATTCTCTTTTCTCTCTACTTTTTGCATATCTTTTCGTAATTAGCCAAAAAGTCATCCCAAACATACACCTTCTCTTTCCCCAAAAAGCTGGTAACTAGTAAAATATGGCAAACTTAGAGTATGGATTTGAAAGAGAGCAAATACCACATAAACTTAGTAAGAACTAAATCCTTGCCCAAGCCAATGTTCGAAAAAGCACCCTGATCCATATTTTTTAAAAATAGATTATAGAAGAAAAACTAAAGGGCCCCATCTGTTTTCCGCCATCACAGTTTGGAGTGGACTGTGATAGATGAACAGTGAGCTTAGCTCATGTTTGTTTGTGTGTGGTCGTCCGGATTGATAGTATGCTCGGCTTAGGATAGGCCTTGGGCGAGCGGATTATTAGTCTGGGCGAAGAGGTGATATTAGAAAAATAGTCCGTCGGCTTACTGAGTGACCGGTCATCTGCCGGGACGTACGGCCGGTCAACGCATTTTTTTTTTTTACATGTTGGGCATTTTTTTTTAACATTAATGTTTAATGATTTTATATTTTTTGTTAAGTAAAAATCATAATTTTATTTGTTTTATTATTTTATATAAAAATAATTTAACAATCGCCACACTAGCAACTATCATTAAAATAAACACAATTTTACTAATTCCCTCACTATCAATCGCTTACATTTTATCTCTGAAAACAAACGGGGCCAAGAAGAAATAGAGAGAAGAAGACCCACTTCAATGGGAAAGACCTCATGTTGGTTCAATTCGAGGAGAACCAAACCTCCAATACTTTACAAAGAAGTCAATACAAAAATATCCGGCCTACATTTTCATTGTTTGGCAACATTTTTAAATACAAAAAATTGGATAACTACCTAGGAAACCAACTAATACCATAACACATGCAATCTACCTACCTAAGAGACCAGCCCACTAATACCAAAACACCTAATTACTGGATAGCTGCTAATAAAATGACTCATCAAAATGAACTATTCAGTTGAGATACTTCCTAGAACTGCAGAGGTCATGGGACAGCACTCATGGAGTTCTTTCGATTTACTATTTTCACAAAGCAACATAAAGGGGTTTAATGCAATTGACAGGGGATTTAGGTTTTGAACTTTTAACACAACCTTGAACACAATGAATTTACAAGTCATTCCAGCTAAAAGCTAAGATATTTAATAAAAGAACCTCAAATGGTGTGAAATGCAAAGACACAATAATCCTAACAGTACTGGAGAAAGAATATATTGCACATACATTCAGGAAAACCCTAAACAAGGATTTAAAAAAACATTATTCTGATGACAAATCAAAGCATGCATGCAACCATATCATTCATAACCATACCTCAGTCCTGTACCGAGTATCAGCTGGTGGAATCTTTAACCTTGCCTTCCAATCTTGTGAACTAAGAAAAAAACGAAGAAAAACAACAGTTGAGGTCACATTTTAGGCACACTGACAAACAATATATTCTGATAAGAAGAAAAAAAGACAGGGTCTAACAAATAATGTAGTCATCATGTAGCAAAAGTTAAACTCAGCTGAAGCATCTTTAGATCCAAAAAATTATTAAAGAAAATCGGTGGTTACCATTTAATCCCGACCCAAGAAAAGGAATTTTTTTCAAAAGGGGCCATTTGACAAAGCTCTGGGAAGACCTATGGCGTTGTTTGGTGTAGCTTATTGCAAATTAAAAGCTAATAATCCAAAAGCAGAAGTCAAAAGCACCCCTCACCCAACTTTTAGAAATCAGCTTTTTCCAGCTTATGTAAGCTATTTCTGCCTAATAATCACTTGTCTTGTTCTGAAAACAAGTCTTCAAGTTAGACACACTCATGGAAATTCTCATCTATCATAAAGGTGTCAACACTCTTCCCATCCCCATCTCTATTATATAAATCCACATGTGTGTGTATTTCCCCATGTTTTATCTTCCTAAAAATCTAGATTCTATATGCATATTATGCACATATAAAGATTTTATTTTTCACATATTACTAACAAATATTTGATAATCCTTTTTTATAAAATATATCTCCAGTTCATAAAAATGATATGATAACAAGGCTTTGGCTCCCTCAATAGGCTAGGATTTCATCAAGTAAAGTTAAATAATTGCTACAATAATTTTATGGATTCACCACCTTAGCGAGAAAATGAATATGCAATATGCATTTTGATGTCCTTAACTGAACCAAACCAAACCAAACCAAGCCTTAAGTCCCATCGAATGGGGTCGGCATGTCCTTAACTGAAACCGCAGTCAATGTTTGGGATATGGCCTTTTAAAGGTTAGAGTGAGGTCCTCTCTGCACACATGAAAATGGGGATTCCAAAACCAACACATTGCAAATTTGCAATCCCCCATCAACATGCTCAATCACTTTTTAAAATGACATAATAACCAAAGCAGATTTGCAACACTCCAAAGTTGAAGCATACATGACTAACAATATCAAAACTTGCAATGTCAGTGATGTAGCAACCTACAGCATGGTTATTATACAAACGACACATTGAAGTACTACAAAGCCACGATCTGAGAAAAGCATAATCCTCACAATTTCCAAGTTACAAAGAAAACCATTGGCTCACAATAAAACCAGCCAATTTTGTATGAAAACTAAAACAAATATGGTAAATTGCCTTTTGCCGACTAAGATTCAGAGCCGTCTACACCCACAAACTAACCAGTTGAAGGTTCACACCATTCAACCATCTTGTTCAGACCAAGAAATCATCATGACATACAGCCATCCAAATTCACTCCATCTCTAACCCTAAAATATGGTGACAGCTAGCAATTAACTCTTAAAGAATTATGATCATGGTTCAAATAATTACAGGTAGTAAGAGCCAGGATGACCAAAACAAAAAGTAGTTTGGGAGGCTAAGGGAATTGTGAATATCATCTGTTTGGTTTTGGGGTTTTCAAAACCAGTTTTATGAGTGTTCAATTCATTTTTTTTTTTGGTAAATTTTTTTAATATTTTAATAAAAAAAAATTTTTTTTTAGGGCAAATCACACCAATATTGTAAAGTTTTTTTTTTTTGATACATCGGAAAATAATATATTGTAAAGCTTTCTAACGCGCTTGAAGTAAACATTATAAATATTATTAATTATTAATTAAAATTATAAATTTTATCATAAATTTGTGATAATTGTTTATTAAATGGGAAATTTGGCTATAAACCCCCTTTACCTTCCTTTCATTGTTAGAAGGACTAAGAAAAAAATTATACTTTCTAAACCCCCTCATAATTATAGAGTCTTGCATAAAGGACAAAATTTATTATTTAAATATTTTATTAGACTATTATACCCTCAACTAAATTTTCCCACCTTCTCCACCCACTCTCTCCCCACCTCCTCTCTCTCTCCTCTCTCTCTCCCTTCTCTAACTCCCTCAAGTTTCAGATCTGGAAGCTCAGCTACCACCTCTGGAACTCTTGTGTCGACCTCGCTAACCCCGTCGACGTTTGATCCTCTTCCGCCGCTCTCTCCGGCGAACACGCCAAACTCCGCGACGTCTCCGTTGATTTGCTCTTCCTATGTATATGTGTATGTATGTATTTATATATATGTGTGTGCATGTATGTATGTATATATGACTCATACATACATGTGTATATGTATATATATCAGTAAGTGAGTGTATGTATGTATATTACGCGATATTTTTTTTAAACACAGATTTGAGTTTTGAATATATATGTATATATATATATATATATTTGTGTGTATGAGTGTTGTTGAACACATGTATTCTTTGAAATCAAAAGATAGAGAGATATTTGGATGTGTTATCTGAAATGGCCACCTCAATCAAATTATGATTATGTTGATATTTGGATGTTTTTATTTAGTTTTTGATCTGTGTGTTTTGTGGTTATATATCCTTGTAATATAGATTTGTGTTTTTACTAGTTTTTGAATTGATCTGTTCATACTCAGCTTGTTCAATGGATGATCGATCTATTAAAATGGATGATCTATTCGATTTCTCCCTCTTTCTTTCTCTCTGATAAGAATCTCCCTAATCAGAATTTCACACAGAAATTTTACTAATCAGAGTAAAATTTTACTCTGATTAAAAAATGTTGATTTGCTTAAAAATATAAAGTTTTACTTTGAATCATAGTAAACTTTACTAAAGTTTACTATGATTCAAAGTAAAACTTTACTCTGAAATTTTACTTTGGTTAAAAAACATGTTGATTTTCTCAGCAACCAAATTATATTTGGTTTTCTTGTTATGTTTCTGTGATTTTCTCAGTAACCAAACACACAAGGTTATTAATACATGACACTTAGTGCGATTCAAAGTGGATACTCTCCTTAGATCATAGTAAAATTGTACTTTCAAAGTAAAATTTTACTCTAAATCAGAGTAAAGTTTACTATGATTCAAAGTAAAATTTTACTCTGGTTAAAACCATATTGATTTGCTTAACAATATAAAATTTTACTTTGAATCATAGTAAATTTTACTCTGATTCAGAGTAATTCAGAGTAAAACTTTACTTTAAAAGTAAAGTTTTACTCTGAATCAGAATAAAATTTTACTCTGGTTAAAAACATGTTGATTTGCTTAACAATATAAAATTTTACTGTGAATCAGAGTAAAGTTTACTATGATTTAAAATAAAACTTTTCTCTAAAATACAATGTGAAGATAGCTTAATAGGAGAGCTAATAAATATGAGGGTAATATAGTAAAAGAAACAAGTTTTAAAATATTAAGGGGTTTTGAAAATACCTATATAATTCTTGTCATTTCGAGAGACAAATTAAACAGTGAGCGGTCTATCACCAAATCCACCTTATTAAATTACCCCCCCTTTTTTTTAAGTTTTTAGATACACTTAATCTATTTAAAATGTACAAAATTTGTGCAAAAACTTTTAAAAATTCATTGAATAAAAAAAAATAAAAAAATAAAAAAAATTCAGTTTTATATTTTGTTATTTGTTCAATGAATTCTTTAAAATTTTTTGTATAAAATTTATCCTTTCCAGGTGCATTTAAAAAAAAAATCACTACAAATCTTAAAAAAACACGGATTTTAAATTCATAAAACTGATTTTGAAACTTCAAACCAATCTTTTCTCTTTATTTATTTTTTATTTTTGGTGGGTAAAAGAACATAAAAGTGCAGAGGAGATCAACGCAACTATACCTGGAATCAACAGCCTCCGACTGTACGGTCTTTTCAACTTCGTCAACACTCAACTCCGCCCCCAATTGGTTCCTCCTTAGCCACTGTGGTTGCTGATGCTGTTGGTGTTGCTGGTGCTGTTGTTGGCTCTGAAACTGTTGATGATGGTTCTGCATTGGACCCCTCTGCACATACTGTTGCTGAAAATTTCTCGGATGAAAATTAAGGTTTACGTTTAGGCTCCCACCGCGGCCACCTCCACCGCCGATCCCCGGCGGATATCGTCCTCGAGTATTCATGACAACGATCGAACCACCAAGCCTTCACAATTGGATCGAAATTTCGAAGTAAAACCCTAACGAATAGATCAAAAATCAATACAAAGAGAACATATATACAAAATTGCGAAACTACGGATCAAATACAGCTACAGTTTCTTGATGATTCGAAGCAAAATCATGGGCAACAAAAAGGCCACTATTTGCGTGAGAAATGAGAGATTCAAAATCGAAGAACGAAAATGATTTGATCCAACATAAATTGAATGAATTTTCGTTTGTCTGTGTTTTTTTAACGGTTGGGTGAGAAAAAGAAAAGACATAGTGAGCATACGACGCTCACAATTTGTGATCGAACTTTTATATGATAATCTTATTTGAAATGATTTGAAATATAAGACTTTCAAATATTTTAAAGGAAGTATAAAAATAATTTAAAATATAGTGAGATGAGAATTTGTGTCCAACAAATGTGTTCAGCTAAACCCACCAACCTTATTGTTAAGTTGAGCTGAGCTAAATCTACACCAATCTTAATGTTGGGCTGAGCTAAGTCCTTGGATCGGCTGAGCTAACAGAAGTCTTTGGACCGGCCGAGCTAGGCAAGTTTTGGGTCGCAAGCATGGACCGAACAGTTTGAAGGCCCTAGCTATATTAAAGAATTGTGCCTAGGTGATGGGCTGGCCTAGCTTGAGAGCGAAACTATCGCTAAGTGCCAAGCTGAAGGTCTACGAGCAGACTGAGGATCAATGCCATGAGGATCTTGGCTGAGATAAGATGTTCGTGATACTGACCTGAATTAGCTCGGTATATGAACTTGTGGAGCTAGCACACTAAAGAATTTTAGAAGTAATTGCTTGGTTAGAGCATTCCACATGGCCCAATGGAGTATTGTGAGGAATCCGCTATAAGTACGCGTCAATACCGTTTGGCTGTTTGGCTAATACTATTTGGCGGATTGACGTGCATACATGTACGGAAGAGAAACGATAGTACAACCACGCATCCAGCAAATGACGACAGAAGTAGTGCGCGCAAAACCTTGGGATGCAAGGCCAGCCTGGATAAAGGGCGCGACCAGACTCTGAGAAGGGTAAGCAAACCTTGGCTACACTCTCCATCTCTCTCAATTCCTTATTCTTCTTCAAGTGAACTGACTTGACCGTTAGAGGGATTTTCTAGCAAACCACCTGTCAAGTAGCTCACTTATGTTCTGTTCGTGTTGAATCGAAGTCCATTTGGAACAAGGCGAATTTGGTGGCAAGGCGTACGGAAGACGACGAATATTTCTTTCCCGTACAATTGGCCCCATCTATGGGAATCTTGACATTCAAAACCTGGTCCTCCAAGCTTTTTTAGTGAACTTCAATGGCGAAATACGACGAGATTCCACTGTTCGCCATCAACGACATCACGCCAGAGTCCGTTCGAACGCGTGATGACTTGCCCGCTATTCCAGCCATGGCTGGTTTGGAGACCTCCACCAAAGGGCTACTTAGAGATGCGCGAGACAAGTGCCCGAGGAACTTTAAGCACTCACAGAGCCCTGAAGGGCGCTCGTGACAAAGAGGGTCGCACACTCAGCAATTAGAACACAAATTGAGAGACCAAGACGCCATTATTCGAATGATGGCAGCAGAGATGGAAGCACTGAAGTAACAGATTAAAGGGAAGGGCATTGTTGGAGTGGAAAACCACAGTGAGCACACCCAAACCCACCACTTTGGTAGTTGGAGCACGCGAGCGACTCCTTCCCTATCTATTACTAGGAGCTGTAGAGTTGGTGACTTCGTCTTGCTGGCAGAGAGATCATGCATGCGGGATAGTAGTTATCGTCCCTTGCATCCGCTAACGACGTTGAGATACTCTTACTTCGTTCGATCAAAGGACTTAAAGGACATCTTGGAGGAATGAACCCACCATAGAGAGGTTTAGAGGGTGCTGGTGTTGTAGAGGTTGGCCTCTAGAATCCATGATAGTGAGGAGGTTGTAATGCCACCACCATGAATGGTGGAGAATGTTTCGGCAGACAAAGAATTGATGAGGCTGAGGGCCACTCTTTTTTCCCTTGAGATTGAGAATACGCCACTTTATGCTGGCTTTCACCGGCCAAAATTTATGTTATATGACAAAAGAACTGATTCGTACATGCACATTAGTTGTTATCGACAAGTTAAGGCTGGATACATGTAAAATGATGCCTTAATGTGCCTTATTTTCCCGTCGAGTTTAAGGGAATTAGGCCTGAAGTGATTCGAGAGACTGCCGAAGGAAAGTATCGAAAGATGGCAATAGTTGGTAGAGACATGTGTCACCAAATTCAAGACAAACACAAAAATGTCTAAGGAAGTCGATTACCTTTTGGGATTAAAGATGGAACCGTGCGATTCACTAAAGGCATATAATGCCAAGTATTGGGAGACATTCAACGAAATCCTCAATTGCCCAGCCAACCTGGCAATCGCCCAGTATAAGCGCGGTCATCCAGTCAAACATAGGCTGAGAGACTCGCTTATAATAAGTCAACCCACAACCATGGAATTGCTCGTGTAAAGAATCAATGAGCATATAAGGGTTGAAAATGACGCAACCACAGCTACTTTGAAGACAAATCCGGTAGTGGCAAACAAAAGAGTTGCGGGGAAAGCCAACGTATTTGGGCAGGAGGATAATTGTGCAAATAACGGTGCAAGGAAGTAGAACGGCAGTGCTAACCGCAACAACTGAGATAAGGGACGTAACCATAACTGGGCTAATAACCTATGTGACGTGGAGGATGATGCCAAGAGAAAGTTGAATGCCCGGACTAGCATTACTACGGTCTTCAAGATACCAATCTATCGCATAGTGAGTGAAATCTGTGATGAGGAATATGTCTGATGGCTAGCCAAGTTGGGAGATGCCCAGTGAGGGTTCAATTCGAGATATCATTGCACCTTTCATGATGAGAGACGGAACCAAATAGAAGATTGCATACCGCTTAAACTACACATGGAAGAGTTGGTGGCTGTAGGGGATTTGGATTTCTATGTTGATGAAGGGATTACGACAGCTCCTCAAGAGTAGACCTTGCCAAATAGCCTGACAATCGAAGACATCTCTTCTCAAGGAGTAATCGATTAAAGAGAACTGGGAGATCAGTTTTGGAAGACGTCGGTAAGAAGATCGAGGAAAAAGGACATAAACCTCGCAGGATATACATGATCGATCTATTCTCAAAATGTAAAACACTGCCAATCTAAAGTTTTATTTTTAGTTCTATTTTTGTAACTCTTTCCACTATTGATGTAATGAAACAAATATACCGTTTTCTTGAAATTTGCTGTATTTTCACCCCCACCAAGCAGATTTAGCACTGTCCAAGAGACAAATGACGATCATTTCAACGGAAAGATCATAATTTCTTGCCAAGCTGATTTTGCTTAACAAGATGAAAGTTTGTGTTCTGTTCAACTTTGGACTTCCTTGCCGAGCAGATTTTGCTTGGCAAGAGGTTTGTTGATGATTTTGATCAACTTTGGAATTCTTTGTCAGGCTGATTTTGCTCGGCAAGATGGAAGTTGGTGTTTTGTTCAACTTTAGAATTCCTTGCTGAGCTGATTTTGCTCGCCAAGAAGTAAGTTACCAAGCTAATTTTGTTTGCCAACTTTGAAATTCATTGTTGGACTCATTTTGCTCGACAAGATGAAATTTGTTGTTTTGTTCAACTTTAGAATTCCTTGTCGAGCTGATTTTGCTTGCCAAGAAGTCTTGCCGAGTTGACTTTGCTCACCAACTTTAGAATTCCTTGCCAGGTTGATTTTTCTCAGCAAGATGAAAGTTGGTGTTTTATTCAACTTTAAAATTCTTTGCCAAGCTGATTTTGCTCGCTAAGAAGTTGTCGAGATAATTTTGCTAGCCAAGAAGTAAGTTGTCGAGTTGATTTTGCTCGGCAAGATAAAAGTTGGTGTTTTGTTCAACTCCAAAATTCCTTGCCGAGCTGGTTTTGCTCGCTAAAAAGTCTTGCCGAGATAATTTTGCTAGCCAAGAATTAAGCTATCGAGTTGATTTTGCTCACCAACTTTAGAATTCCTTGCCGAGATGATTTTGCTAGCCAAGAAGTGTTGCTGAGTTGATTTTGCCGTCAGAAGTAAGTTGCCGAGCTAATTTTGCTCGCCAACTTTAGAATTCCTTGTTGAGCTGATTTTGCTCGCCAGCTTTGAAATTCCTTGCCGGGCTAATTTTGCTCGCCATATAGCGATTCTGGTTTAGACCCAACTCATTTGATTTTTCGAATCCGAGTTTTATTGTCATATATAAATAGCCATGTCTTGTTTCCCTCTATTTCTTCTTGAGTTGGGCTATTGGGTTGTGCTGATTGCGTTTGGAATAGGTTGGTAGCTTGTTTTTCAAACTTTTGTTGTCCAGATTTTTGTTCCTTCGCTAGAGCGAAACTTCTTGCGCTCGAGCGGTCTTTGCGAAACATCCAGTATTTTTGCAGGCCTGCAAAACTACTAGAAGTTTGTATTCTTCTCACGAGTGAAGCTTCTTGCGCTCGAGCGATGACCTCTGTCTGCAAAACCACTAAGAGTGTGTATTTTACGCTCGAACGAAGCTTCTTGCGCTCAAGTGGAACAACTTATTGTGTTTGATAGCTCAAGCGAAAAATCTTGCGCTCGAGCGAACTATGCATATATTAGTTCGTAAACAGGCTATTTTACATCACTTTTTATCTCTCTTTCTCTCTAAAACATTTCAAAACCCTAAGTTGAGACCCTCTCTCTCTAAAACTCACACTCTCTTTACAAATACATCTAGATCTAGTGATTTCTTCACGTTACTCAATTTGTTAAAAAGTTAGAGCTCACCTAGAGCTTCATTTGATCCGAACAAAAGGTGGATTTCGGTTTCTTTAAGACTTCTCCACTCTCTCCTTGGTCTTCTAGGTTCGAGGTAGGGATTTTCTACACTATTTTATAATTTTTAACTTAGCTATTTGTCTCTATAAAACAATCTCATGATTTTGGAGGATTTTGGACAAACCTATGGTTTGATTTAAAATCAAAAGAGGGGTTTTTAAATGGGTATATTGAAAATGGTTATGGGAGTGGAAATGAGGTTGAGTTGTGTTAAAATTGTTGATTTAGATACTCGGAATATGCTTTGGAAGAAAATATGCGTTTTGCCTAATTGTCTCAAATTTTTATTTGGTATAAAAAAATGGAATTGGTGTTAGAAATGTGGAATTAGATGGATATTGATATAGAAGGTGGAGTTAGATATGTATTATCACTGACCACTTGAAAATTTAGAAAGTTTATCTTTATGGAATATAAATTATTTGTTTAGAAATATCTGTTATAGGCTATTGGTGGAGGATAGCTATGATTGCTGTAGAAATTGT